GGAGGTTAGAGTTGAGGGTGAAGTAAGTGGCAAGTGGGTGTTAAGTGTGAGAGTATTTCTTCTAGTAAGACTTCTAAGAAACACACTGTTTTGTAAATGACCTGCAATGTGGCAAGTATTCTCATTTTTGTGTGTCTGTTCAAAAGTCTTCGACACCTAAGCAAATTGCTTTAAACTGTTCATTGCATCCTCTACATGTGTTTTTGCTAGTGAAAACTCCATATAACATTAGAGTTAATACAAATTAACATAAACACAACAAAACATAAGATTTTCTTGTTTTCAAAAAACTAGTTGATCTCTTAAAAACTGCTCAGAAGAGGTTTGGTTCCAGATCCTTGATGCCATCAGCCACTGCATTGATTTGTGAAATTACATCAGCAGCACACCTGATTTAATTTAATGAAGGACTGATTGACCAAACTAAGTATTGGATGATGACTACAAGTAATATTGGGCTGCCATGAGAAGAGGTTAAAAAATGTTTAAATAAACACTTGGACTGACATTAAATCAGTACTTATATAATTAATGTTTTTTTAATTTATTCTCATCTTAGTGTTTTTTTTTTCCCCCTATAAAAAGCTTAGATAAAAGCTTCTCAGGTGCCTAAGACTTTTGCACAGTATTGTGTATATGGACCTGTAATACACACACACGTGCACTCTCTGAGCTCTTTGTTCACTATTTTTTAGAACCAGCTCTCTGGGAACCTGCTACGGAAATTTAAGAACAGTAACGGCTGGCAGAAGCTCTGGGTTGTTTTTACAAACTTCAGCCTGTTCTTCTACAAAACACACCAGGTGAACTCACACACACACACACACACACACACACACACACACACGGAGGTGTCCACACTTACTGTGTACTCTGTAAATGTCTCAAATCCCAGTGGAATGTCTGCATGCTGCTATATGAGGGGCTTGTCTCATATCTCTCCCTCTTGCTCTCTCTCTCCCCCTCCTTGTCTCTCTCTCTCTCTCTCTCTCTCTCTCTCTCTCTCTCTCTATCTCTCTATATTTTTTTGCTCTCTTCTGCTTTCATCTCTCTCTGCATCTCCCTCTTCCCTTTTTTTGCTGTCTCTCCATCTCTTCCTCCCCCCTCCTTCTCTCTGTCTTCTCCCTCTCTCTCTCACTTTCCCTCTTTTTCTTTGTCTCTGTCCCTCTCTCCCTCTCTCTCGCTCTCCCTTTTTCAGGATGAGTATCCGTTGGCCAGTCTGCCTTTGCTGGGTTACTCTGTAACTGTGCCAGCCGAGTCTGAGAACATCCATAAAGACTACGTGTTCAAACTTCACTTTAAATCCCACATCTATTACTTCAGATCTGAGAGCGAGTACTCCTTTGAGAGGTCTGTTAAGCATGTGTTATGTTGATTGTCACACATCACACTGTTACCAAAAGAACAATATAAATAAACTTGTACTGTACACTTTTAGTATGTTTGAGGTTTTTTATTACAGTACTAACATATTGCTCTGTTGTGTGCAGGTGGATGGAAGTGATTCGCAGTGCCACCATCTCATCCAGCAGAACTCGCTATCTCAACCGCAAAGAGCCCTACTGAGCCACACAGCCTTAGGGAGCAACTGTGTGTATGTGTGTGTGTGTGTGTGCGCGTGTGTGTATGATCTGACCTTGATGGTCAGTTTGTGTTAGCTCTTTAAGCAAAAATCACTTTTTGTGACATCAACGTTTTCTATCATGATTTTACACCATAAGACACGTTAATCCAGTGCGTCTGACAGTCCCCATGAAGAGTCCTGGTGCTTTTTTTTAAACGGTGACATGTCCGCTGAACGTCGTATTTTTGTGCATATCTGCTTTTTTCTGCATTTTTCTGCATTTTTACTGGGCTGTTTGCCTCTTTTATAGAATCTCATTTTATATACTATGATTAATTATCTATCTGTGCGCACTCTGGTCTGCCATAAGTGTCACTTGTTACTTCATAATGGAGGCCTCTCGATACTGGTGCCCTGATTTTTGATAAGTAACTTCATATGCATTTTATTTCTGCAAAACAACTTGCAAAACAACTTTCTATGTTTTGATGACTTCTATTAACAGACTCTCTTCTTGTAATCCACCAGTCTATGTGCCAAACTTTTTTTGATGTCTTTCAGACTTAAAGTACAATTTTCATTCATTGATGACAAGGAGCCTTCATAAAGTTGCATTTTGGAGAGGTTTTAAAAATGTAGGTGGCTTTAACTTTTCCACAGAAAATGTTTAAAAAAAAAAAGTGAAGAAGAAATTTTAAACATAATTTTCTCATTAAGATATCTAAGGTACTTCAAAAAGTATTACATGAAAATGTATTTTATGTCTTTTCTTTTGTTATATTAGTATTGATGATGACATTTCTTAATTCAGGGTTGTTAAATTTCCCACCGCTGCCATTTTAGGAGAAAAATCACAATCTAGCCCACTCCATATTAATAAAGCCACACCTCACGGCATTAAAACAGCCATGCTCCTCACTGCAGTTTATGCAAAAACCACAGTCGGAAGCTACATATGAAGAATGCCATTGAGGAAGTAAAGCTTTAAACTGTAGAGTTAAACATGATTTTGTAGTTTCATAAGCACTATTTACTCTCAGAAGACAAGGCTGCCTCATTGTGAAGGTCTGTCAGAGTGGTTTATATGTGAAAACTGAGAAAGAACAGACAAAAGAAGGGCTGAGGGAGTTTGGTGTGGCTACCTGAGCATCTGTGGGCAGAGGAAGGAGGTTTTCATATTCCAGATAAATAAGAAAAGAAAGAGAAACAGAGTGCTCTATGGATATGAAAGCAATAAACACATTTGAACATCCTGAATAATGTGAGTTGTTTGATTTTTTGTATGTTCTATGACTCCTGTGTGTTTGAGCTGAAATTGCTTTTGGGCTGCCAGGACTGTGTGGGCTGATTTTCCAGACACATGTTAAGCCCAGTGATGGCCTAAATGGAGATTTTCCATTAAAGAGTGTTTTATTTGGACTAGGGTTAATCGATATCTGCCAAAGCAGCCTAGTATACACTCTACTGCTCCAACCTCTAGATGGCAGCAATATAAAAGTAATGAATGGGGCTTTAATTAGGTTTCAGCTAAGAGTTTTGCCATGCATCTTTGGAAAAAGCTTCCTGAAAGAGTTCCTAAGAACAAAACATGGTATGATGGCATGGCCTTCCAGTAAGTGCTGGGCGGTGAAGCTCTCCTGATAATGAACAGGGAGGGCTCTCCCCCTGGTAGGATCATTAGTGGATCTGTTAAATGATGGAGACGTGAACAGCTGGTCTTGTGTACTACGAAGGATTTACCTGCTCTTAATAAGTAAGCTGCCCCCTTAATGAGCTTTCAGTTCACCTCTCTGGGGCCTTTCGTCTGACCAGGCCAACCAAACAGACAGTGTTTAAACTGACCAGTAATAAGGAGTTGTCTTACATTGTAGCATATTTTAAGAATACCTTCATTGTCTTTACTTTGACCTCTGGGTCCATCACAATGTTTTACAGCTGGAAATGGGCCGTGTGTGTATATATATTTAAGAAGGTATTAACATAGACTTGTCTCTACTTTCATACTGGATTAGATCGCAGGCCACATTCATTGTTTCAAATGGTCAGAGGTGAGTGGTACCTCCACTTACTTGCATGCACTGAAGCAAAATGTTAATAGGTTTGATCTTTTCTATTTTCAAATAGTCCTAATCTCACTACATCTTTGTGATCCAAAAACAGAAGAAAAGCGCCTAAACGTCAGTCCCTATGGTGACAGGTGCTGGATGTCGAGTCGCTGAAGTAACAAACTCCAGTACAGTTTCATGCTGTATCCATTTCTACAAATGATGACTCATTTTCCATACCGAGTTTCCACTGGGCTGCTCTTAACACCACAGAGGCTCCTATAAACCCTGATCCGTTTCACTGCTTAGTCAGGAGACGAATGTTCTGTTTATTTCTCCAGTCACAGCTTTACGTCGTTACCGTGTAAATGAAATTGTTGTTATGATCACTAACGTGCTGACATAATGTGTGTCCAGTGGAGTTGTTTTTCCCACCTGTATTCAGACAAACCCCGCCTCCTGCGCTACGACTCGCCAGCTGTTCACACTCATAAGCAGTCCGCCTGTTTACCTACAGAAAGGGGAAAGTCACAGCACATTACTGTAATAGTGAACTAAGCATAAGGCTGGACTTATTACGAACAGTGAAGTACATAAGATTTTAAATAAGCCTACTCAAAACAGGAAAGACAGTGGCTTACGTGTAAAACTTTACTGTAACACATCTCACATTACACAGTCACTTTATTACAGATCTTGTCTTAAATTTGCATCAGCAACGCGAACACTCATGTGTGACTTCAAATCTAACCCTGGCACTCCTGGAGCTCCACCTCTTATACGTAGGCAAATAACACTAACACAATAACATAGCCATAACACAAATATATCATTTTATTTATGTGTGTTTCTAAGTAAAACTCAGTTTCAGAGAGAGTCTCTGTGCTTCACTCAGCGTGGGGTTGGTGGGACCTTAAACATAATTATATTGGATAATATTGTTTTTCCCTGCCCACTGCTAGTGACCTAGCCAAAACTCTTTAGAGGTGGGCAAAAGTCATTACACTTTGATGGAAAGTTACAGTAAAACAAGAAATTTGTCTTTTAAATGATATATGATTTGATGCATTGCGCGTAATATAACAAGGAACATGAAATAACAGGGTAATAAAGGTGCATTTTGATTTCAGGTTGATATCTGGTCCTGTTGCTTGAATAACTAAGTGGCAATTACTTTATTATTTAAATAAATTAAATAATGAAACTTTTTACACACACACACACACACACACACACACACACACACACACACACACATATCAACATGTATCACAACAACACTAATATAACAGCCATATGTTCCATTTCCAGGATTTGGAACTCTGTAGCCAATCAGCGAGCGCAGGGGGCGGGGCTTGCCGGAAGACGGGTGTGGAAAAACATTGTCCCGCTGGTCAGCGGTGTGGAGGCGGAGCGCGAACACGGAGATTAGCCCAAGTTTAGCAAAGCGTGTGAACACCAGCGGAGATGAGACGCTGATAGTGAGGGAGAATGGCCTGTTTTGGCCACGAGAACTCTTCAACGAGCGTAAACTACTGTGTAGGGCGCGTTAGTGACTCGGTTAAAGAGAGTTTATGATGACTTTGAACAGGTCTGCGCGGAGTGGGATATGAGCCCGACAGAGGAGCCGCGCTTCTAGCAGCTGAGGTCGAAGAGGAAAACACGAGCGGATGGTGTGGAGTTAATCTCGGTTTTATCATTAAACGTGCACTTACTACTATCGGGGCGGGTTTCCTGCTGAAGGACGATGTCGCTGCCACCGCAAACCGAGACAAGGAAGTTTACACGAGGGCTGAGCAAACCAGGCACAGCGGCGGAGCTCCGGCAGAGCGTGTCTGAGGTGGTGAGGACGTCCGTGCTGGTGGTGAGTGAGGAGTTTAACTCAGTAAATCACTCTGAACCGGAGTGGCGGAGAGTTTAATTCACAAGAACAGCCTTGTCCGGTGTGGCTGCCTGTCTTCATTTTGCCATTAGGATAGTTCCCTGCAGTGGAGAGCGGAGTTTGTTCCACTGAAGTGAGTTACTCACATAGACTTAAGTTATTTTTTGATGAATTTGGGCCTTTCTGGGCGTTTTAAAGTAGAACATGTGTGATTACTCGGATGCATGTGTGAAAGGAAAGGATTCCCCTTTTTACTTAGTTCTGTTTTAGTCATTCACATGTAATTTGTAATGTATTTTTGGGGTTCATAACTGTCATTCCTGCTGGTCACATCAATTGGGCTGCTTTGTTCTTATATCTCTCAGTCTGGAGTTTTACCTCTTTAATTGGGTCAGTATCCCAAGGAGGGTGTAGAAGTAATTCCACTGTAGCTATATTAACCTACTCATACTCACTTTTACTCAGGTTGTCACCTTCTTTTATTCCTGCTGGAGTTATTACAAGACTACCTGACCATGCTTTTACGCTATATCCAGCTTTTCCTGGCCTGTTTGCCAAAGCCAAGGTACAGGAGGCGGGTCAGTGTTTCCCAACTGCAGTCCTATAGTCCATTTGCACTGCAGTTTCCTGTTTTCCCTCTACCCGAATCGTACTCATTAGATACGTCCTTCTTCAGCTGAATCAGAAAAACACTGTGCAGTGCAGTGAGCCAGAGGCCTGGAGGTGTGAAACACTGAGGTAGGTAATTACTGGCCAAGTCAACAAACACTGTCTAATACAGTGTTTCCCAGCCCTGCTTCTGTAGGCCTGCGCTGGACATTTTAGTACTTTCCCTGCTCCCAACACACTGGATCCAACTGATCAGCTCCTTACCAACCTCTTGCTGAAGTTGACATGGGTGTGTTCAAAGCAGGGAAAGCACTGAAGTGTGCATGGCAGTTAGACTCCAGGACCAAGGTTGGAAAACAGTGGTCTTATGCACACTGACACCATAGCTGTGTACTGCAGTTGGAAACATTTCACAGTTCTAGCCAAGCTTTTATCTTTAGCAGCGGTGTCTTTTGACAGTTCGCTTACTTTGTTTTCTGCCACAGTATTTAGTGCTTATCAGCACCTTTTGCCACTCACTTTGACAATTTCAGCCACTTCACAACAGTTATTATCTATCATACCTATCATGATTATAACTAAAGCATTTCTCCAGTATTTAGCTATGATTCCACATCTGCCAGACCTGAGAAAACATGTAAATGAAGGAACGTTCCAGCATAATGGCATAAGTAGGAATCCCTCAACGTGTCATCACATGTTGGTGCAAAGGCAGCTAAAATCCTCTGCGTTGTTTCCATACAGAGTGAGACATAAACTATCAGTGCCTCTTCTATAAACTTCTATGTTACTGGTTTATGCTTGTGATAGAGCCAGTTGAATCTCTAGGCTACTGAAATGGGGAATAACTATAACTAGATATTTAATAAGCCTTTAAAGTATACCTAGAAGTCATGTGTTAGGATAATTTGTGCTGTGTACAGTCTGCTATTCTTGCGTTTACTCTGTCCGGTAGAGGTGTGTGTGTGTGTGTGTGTGTGTGTGTGTGTGTGTGTGTGTGTGTGTGTGTGTGTGCGTAAAATGTTCACACTGACCTAAATTAGACTCATTAACATGAAGGCTTATCGAGTGTGTGTTCTGATTGTTATGGAGTAGTTTATCATGTACATGTCTCTTAGTGTTTCTATGTGTTGTCCTGGATGGTTGTTCAAACACGTTGCTAGGATACAGAAATGGACACCATCCAGCCCTTTGTCAGAGAAATGGAATCCTGAGAAACACACACACTCACACACTCACAGCCACTCCTCTGTATGATTAATTTATCCTTCTGTACTCCGCAGAGCGTGCTGCAGCATGACACCCACCAGGTGATTTCAGGGTTTGGGGAGAAGGGCAGGTTAGGTATATTTTATGAATGTCTCCATCCAGTTCAGGACATGTGAATTGCTGGGGGGGTCAACAATGCTTTTTGATTGAACATCTCATGCTGTGGTTTGCTGAGCCTGTGCAGTGCATCATCAAGGTCATATGAAATTTTCCTTGTTCAATTTTTCATATTGTATTATCTTTGCAGCTGCCCTTTACATTGTGTGAACATTTCATGACAAATCGACCAATAGACATTTTCGAAAGCAAACCTTTCACATTCTTTTTTAAGTTCCGTTAAAGTCAAACTGACATTTTTACCTTGTTAGTTCATGTCCCTGGTTATATTAAACATGATTTGTCACCTCAGATCAGCATGGCTTTTTTCCCATAATCTAATCAAAGCTTGGTGATTATTTGGCTTGAAAATGTCTTCTGATTTTTTTATTACATCACCATGCACCTGCAGGTGGGGATAAATAATATTGACCAGTAATGTTATGTTTCACCTCCCCCTCTGATCACCCCCACCTGTCATTGAGCCAAAATGCTCGGCTAGCTCAGAGACCCTCCCTGATGTGGTGTTGCACTTGGAAATACATCACATTACAGAAGAAAACTGCGTTATGATTTCCCATTCATGTTTTTTTCCCTTTTCCAGTGAAGTTACTGTTTCAGAGATGCAAGGTTTTATTATGACAGTGATGATATACAGCATCAAGACTTTGTAACATCATAGTGCAAAAATCTCTATAAGATGGTTGAGTGACATATATATGCTTTGTGAATACCCAAAGAACCCCAGTGGGCCAAGAATGCGTGTGACTGGGAGTAGCTCACACACATGCATTCCAGCATGAAACATGTAAATACACTGCGAGTGAAATACGTCTCTGTGTCAGAAGAAGAAAAGAGAGATTGTGGTGTGTTTCTTCGAATGGGGGCTCAATTGTGACCCTAGAAGCCTGCAGACACAAACGTATTGTGTTTCCTGTGTTCGAGCCATTATGCTGAAGCATCTATTAGGAACTCTGCAAGCCTGGCCTCCATAGCGCCTTTTAGTGTTGGCTGAGGTTCTGAGGGAATCGCCATGGAGAAACATGGACTTCCCTCAGTCTCACCAATCAGGCAGGAGATAGATTTATATTAGAGCTTATCTGTTAATCTGTCTGTCACTGATACTGTATCTTCAATAAGCCAAAACATGTTTGGTGTCTGAGGTTTGAAAAAGGAAAAAAAGTGTGTCATTATTTAATTTATTTAAGAATCATGTCAGAAACATGTCAGTCACCCATATGAAAAAGTAATAGTTATTTAAGCAACGGGACCAGATTTAAAGTCAACCTGAAATCAAAATATACCTTTTTTACCTTGTTCATTCATGTTCCCTGTTATATTAGGCACAAAAAAATATTATCCAGTATCATCATGTTTCAGCCCCCCTCCTACCAACCCCACATTGAGTGAAATGCAAAAACTCTCTTTAAAACTGTGTTTTACTCAGGAATTATTATGTGTTATAATTTTGTAAAATCTATGGGAAGTCTTAACGTGTGTCACTGCTGGAACTAGCGCTATATACTGTAAACACAAATCACCACTTTTCAATATACTTCTAACAGTTCATTTGGCTCTTTTAGGTAAAGCACTATTTTTGCAGTCCAAAAGTGAACAGTGCATCTGGGATCTGCAAGTATTGTGCCTTAAAGGCAACCATAGCCAGTGTCCCAAAAAGTGGAATTGGCTGTGTCAATCAGAATCGGTTTATCTATGGTTAGACAGACAGAGCTATACAGGAAGTCGTTCCACTCTTAAAAATAAAGGTTAAATGGTTTCTGGTTTGAATGTATTGTTCTAGAACAAAGGTTTAATTGGTATAGAAACTGTACATTATTAGGTTTCTTTTGAACTTTAAAAAAGGTTCTTCATACTCACACATCATTTACAAAAATGGTTCTTGAAAGAACCATCCATTGAAATGATCTTTAGCAAACCAAAAGTAGTTTTTCTCTGTCCAAATAACCCTTTTTACACAGTTATTTTTAAGAGTGCCCTCTGAGCTATTTGCTGATGTTGTCTCTGAAAAAAACACCAGCCAGCTTCATTTACATTGGAGGAAAGAACATACTTGTACTGTTGTAGGATAGAGGGAAGTCTAAAAAAAGGCAAATCAAATAACCACAAATAACCACACTGGCATGCAGGAGTGGCATTTACAGTGACATCATGCTTCCTTGTGTGGCTTAGAAGCACAGCGTCTCAGAGGACAGTGTTCCTCTCCATCTTCCATCATATCATATACAAGTGGCAAACTGTGATTGCTGGGGCCATAAATGTCAAAACTCGGTCGAAAAATAAAAAACTAAACCCTCTATGAAAATGTTATTTTGTTATTGTAGTATGTTAGCGCTAACAGTGTTGCCCATGAACATTTATCAGCTGATATAGATTAAACAAGGACATTTGAAGCTTGTTCCATATTTTTAATTGGAAGCTTGCAACAGACTTTAAAATAGTCCACCTTATCTGTGGCAGTTTTACAGTAAAGAGCCCCAGCATTGAGCACTCCTGACTTTCTAATTTTTTACAACAGTTATATTGATTTTATGTAGGACTTCCAGAGGCCCTAGAGTAATGAACCCCATTTATTGTAAATCAAAACGTAATTAGTTGAATCCACTATCACTTCCTAATTACGTTGGTGGTTAATGTAATGTAAAATGCTATGTACCTAGAAACCTGTGGGGAATGTCTAAATATTAACCCTTTTGTTTCCAACCAAAACATAATAAAGAAACAAGAGTGTTACTACTATACTTGAAGTTAAAATTAGACCTTCTTTGAAGGCCTTAAGGGTTTCTCCACTGTCATATTCAATATTAGTGAGTTGATACTCTTCTGTCCCCAATGCAAAAGTACAGTAAATTAAATGTGATTTTAACAAATCAGTAGCAGCTACCACGGAGTTAGGACTGTTGCTTACTAAATACGTCTGTGGTTGCTTGATTTTTAAGAAGAAAAGAACTGACTTTAACTGAATTAGTCTAATCTCTGATATCTGTTCT